AGATGACTTCAACTTTGTGGTTGATAGGGCCTATGCCCCCGGCAGAGGTAGGCGCCTTAAATATACTAAGGAGTGGATTGCCTACGTGGATGATCTTACTGTTAGGACAGGTAGGGTCATTGATGGGCAGTTTTTCACTGATGCCCAAGCCGAGGGGGCGGTGCGCGAAGCGTGCGCCAAGGGGGCGGTCGCGGCTCCTCAGAGCGCGTCGTCTGCTCTTGAAGCCTTAGGCGTTCGCGGTGCGCACAACTCCAAGCGCGCGAACCATGACGCGGCGCGCTCGGACCAGAATCACCCCACGCGCGTTCTGATGCTCAGGATGTTGGGGCTGTTCGGGTGTTTCTGTGTTCAGGGCGGGTGTTTTTGGGGCGGGCCGTTTCCCAGGTCGCCGGTCTGCGGGCAGAAGGATTTTTCGTCGTTCGTCGCGTGCAGCTTCGTTCGTTTGTCTCGCAGCCAGTGTGTAGGAAGCAGGCCTAGAGGTTCGGTCCAAGGTCGAAGCAGAAGCCGTAGAAGCCTTAAAGCCCCGACCTTAAGGAAACTCCCCAAACCCCCGCCGCAGCGGTTCAAGTGTGTTGTAGAGCCTAGGGTAGGTAGTCCCTCCCCGCGTTCGTGCCTGTGCACTGCGCCCCGCTGCGGGTCGCGACCAGACCGCGCGGGAGCGACCGATCGGTCGCCCGGACCTTCGTGGTCAACCACAAGGCCCCGCTGCGGGCCGTGCCCTGGCCGCGCGGGAGCGGCTGCCTACCACTACTGCACACCGGCCCCTTGCAGCGGGCCGTGTCCTGGCCGCTCAAGGGCGCGTCAGGTTTCCCTCGCCCATCGGAGGTCCAGCAAAGCCGCGGGCCTCAGTGCCGCGATGGGTGGAGGAGGGTCTAAGGGCAGGGGCAAAAGCAAGAGCCCAGGCCCTAAGGGCAGAAAGGGCCCGCCCACGATAGACGACGTGCAGCGCCTGCTAGTCCGATGCATGCGGCACGGCGAAGGTGGCTGCAGAGGCCGGTTCGGTCCGGGCGGCCTCTACCCGGTTGACGAGTTGATCGAGCAACTCGGGATCACCATCAACCAGTACAACCAGGCGGTCGCGCACGACGCCAGCCAGCGGAAACCGAGGTTGGATACCTCGCACGCTGGTTTCCTTCGTGCCTTCCAAGGCCACTCTGCCGATTGCGGCCATCCGATGGGGTTCATGATGGAGGGCCTAAGTGAGACGGCCATCGACGACCTCATCCGTCAGTATGGACCGGCCATGTGGCACGGCACGGACTTGCATGTCGTGCCAAGCCTGTTGCAGAATGGCCTGATCCCCGGCGGCGGGCCGGGAGGCCGCCTCGGGGTTCACTACGTCCTAGGACACTGCCCCACGCAGTGGGAGGACGGAAGGCGCGGGTTCCGCCGCGGATCGACTTGCATAGTCGAGGTCCGACTGGCGGTCCTGCGGGACGCCGGAGTGCCCATCTATGCAGGAGCGGATGGGGTGGCCCTCACTGGCCAGATTAGGGCCACCGGCATTTCCCGCATCTGGGCACTCCCCAGGGGCTCGCCTGTCTACTCAGACTTGATAGCTGAGTTGGAAGTGGATAGGTTGGTCTTGCGTGTCGACCTAAAGAGTTTAGGCGACCCCAGTGCGGGCCCCAACCCGCCGTTGGGGCGAGGACCGAAACTGGGCACGGTCCAAGCGTCCCAAGCTGCTGCGGCCAGCAGTGGCGCGGCGAGCTCCTCGACGGTTGTGCTGGCCCCTGCGGGTCGTGTCATGGCCGCGGGGGCCGCCCAACCTGTTACCCCTCCTAAGGCCGCGCCTAAGGCCAAAGGGCGTCCCCTAGGGACTCCTAGGACTTCGATCGTGCCAGCGAAGCCCAAGGTGTACCCTAGGCGCAACATCCCGGGCCCCAATGTCCTCGAGCCCGAGGACTCGCTCGAGGAAGAGGCAGCCCAAGCAGCTGAAGGTGTCGAGGAAGATAGTTCCAGCTCGGATCTTCCCGACACGCGGGCGCCTCCAGCCGCGGTCAGAGTGAAGGAGGACGAGGGGCCCGCTAGTGGGGCCCAGGCCGAGAGCACGGAGGAAGGAGTCCTCGTGCTCGGCCAGTCTGTGGTCACCAGCGCGAAGGAATACCTCGCGCGGTCCGAAGCTCTTCTTAGAGCGCAGAAGCTCCAGTCGAGAATACTGGAGGTTGCGGGAACTGCGATGGTGAAGCTGGAGAAGATCACCAAGCGGGAGGAGTCCCTCAAAACGCTGCGCCGAGAGGGAGAGAGTCGGGCGGCCGGGGAAGGCGCCGACGGGGAAGAGGTGTCTGACGATGGTCAGGACGCCCCCGGAACTGCAGGGCCGAGCGGTGCCGCCAGGCCTTCGGGAGGCGGGACCGCCCAGTCCGCCTCAGCCTCAGAGGAGCCTCGCCCCAACGCTGACGGCCACTACGGATGTTCGGCTCCGGGATGCGGGCTAGCGTTTGAGTCGCTGGTGCAGTACCACTTGCATCAGGCGGCCTGCCATGGCGCCTCTCTTCCGCCCAACCTGGGGATCAGCCCCTCCGCACCTCTTGACCCTTTTCGTCAGGACTGGCGGGGACGGCTGTTCCGCCGAGGAAAGGACGGTGGGTATGGGGAGGTGCCCATGCTCCGAGTGATTAGGTACCACAAAGCCAACGGGTACGATCACTCGAGAGTCCCGCTCCTGAGGCGAGGGGACCGAATCCAGCTTGAGGATGGATCGCACCACATCTATGGTGGTAGCCATCCGCCGGGGTGGCTTCGCGACGACCCCGAGCTGGACCCCCCTGGTGCTCCAGAGGGAAGCGATGGAGGGTCCACGCCCAAGAGCGAGCCCACGGAGGAGGCCGTGCCCGAGCCTCCGCGGAAGGCCGCTCCGCGCGGGCGGGCCCTCGAGCCGCCGAAGGGCGACGTCCAGCGACGCCTGGCCGAGCGTCGCTCCAAGCGAGATTACACGGAGGTCGTCAAGGACGAAGAGGTCTCGGTTGAGATGGAGGCTGCCACCGCGGATGAGGCGGACGAGGTCGCCCTCCCAGCCAACCGAGCCTACGTCGAAGGCCGCTTTTACCCCTACGGCAGCTGGCGGTGCTTCTTCTGCGAAGCCATTAACCCGGTGACCGAGGACCAGTGCCTCACCACGCACGCGGGCGGCCCGAATGCGGGCGCCCCGTGCGACGGCCGATGGATCAATGGGATCGACATCGGGTGGTGGGAGGTGGATCCCCAAACCGCGCCGGAGCAATGGCGGCGGAGGTTTTCTGCCGAAGAGCTTGAAGACCAACAAGCGCGGGCAGATGCCGCGAGGCTCCTCAGCGATGAGGAACTCGCTGAAGCCCTCCAGGCGGCCGAGGAGGCGCAGGCGGCCGAGCGCGCCAAGAAGCGGGAGCGGCGCCAGGCGGAGAAGGCGGAGCGCGATGATCACATCAGCGAAGCGCTCCGCATAGCAGGGTGGCAGTGCCCTAACTGCTATGAATGGAACCTTTCATTCAGGCAGTTGTGCTTTAGGTGCAGCACACCTCTCCGCTTGGCAGAGGTCGTGTCCCGCGGGATCCCGGATCCGCGGCGCGGCGAACAGAGGGACTCGGGCTCCGAGAGCAGCCAAGATGAGCTGGAGTACGAGATCCTTCTGGCCAATCGCGCGATGGATCAGGAAACGATCCAGCCTCTTCTTAGAAGCAAACACAAGAAGAGGGGCGGCAAGAGACGTCGCGAGGAGGCGACGCACGGCAAGGGCCGCGACCCGTGGGGTGCTTGGGCAGACGCCCGTGGCAAGGGCCAGGGCAAGCCGAAGGGCAGGGGCAAGTCCGATGCCAAGGGCAAGCCCAAGGGGAGGGGCAAGTACGCCTGGGGGGCTTTCGCCGCGGGCATTGTTGCCGCGCTCCAACCCCGCCCAAGCACCAGCTGGGTCCCAGCTTTCCCGTGCGGGTCGGCCCGGCCGCCGCCGAGTGTTCCGCTTCCGCCGCGGACCCCCTTTTTCCTGGGTCGCGGGCTCCTCAATCGGTTGATGCACGCCCTCAACGGTAACATCAACGGCTGGTGGGGCCTGGCGGCTGCAGCGTCGGCGCCGATTGCCTTGCAGTTGCACCGCGGGGCTGTGCATGTTGTCGAGGACTCTATGCACGCGGTTGCAACGATTTCGGCCGACGTGGTCGAGGAAATCGGTCACGGGGCGAGGCGGACCGTGTGGGTCGCCGGAACAGCCATCACTCTCGTGGTAGTGATCTTGTGCGGTGCTGTTCTGTGGTACGTGAGTCGTGCCGTTGCCAATCGCATTGCGCATTTGCGACATGGCAACACCGCGGCCCCTGAGGCGCGGCTGTCTCAGCTCCTTGGCTCCGAAGCGACGTTTGAGGTCGCGAGCACCAAGAAAGGGGTGACCCATAAGGTTTGGGTGCATCTCAAGGAGGAGACAGCTGCCTGTGGCTGTCGTGCTTACCTGGCAGAAGGACGCTGCGGGCATTGCGATGCCGCAATGGACACCGCTCGTTCCTTAGGGTTTTTGCACGCGGCCCAGCGAGGCGCGGGTCCTGCGCTCACAGACTCCAGAGCTTGTGCCTTTGAGCACGGTAGTTTCGTACAGTAGCTCTTAGGTTGCTGTGCGGTCCGACCGGACGCACTCAGGCGTAGCTGCACAAGTGCTTGAACTCGCGAAGTCGTAAAACAGCGTGGCCGGGCTGTGATTGCATTGGTTTAGTGCAAGTCCAGTGCTGGTCGACTTCACAAATTGTATAATTATATAATTATATAATTATATAATTATATAATTATATAATTATATAATTATATAATTATATAATTATATAATTATATAATTATACAATTATATAATTATATAATTTTCTAATTTTATATAATTACATAATTCTATAATTATATAATCATATAGTTATATAATTATATAAGTATATAATTATAGAATTATATAATTATATAATTATATAATTATATAATGATATAATTATATAGTTATATATATATATATATATATATATATATTCCTTATAGGGTTTATGTACCCTTTAAAAAGTAAGATGGTGCCCAGCTATGGCCGAGAAGCGCTTTGCGTCCCAGTCAACGCAGACGGCTGCCTCCTGCTTCCCGCCATTCCTAGTTCAGGGCTGGGACATGGTGGGAGAGCATTGAAAATTTACAAGCTTCTGTTCCTTATGGAGTTTTAAGTACCCTTAAAAACGTAAAATGTTACCTTTATAAGTTTCTATTCCTTATTGAGTTTTTAAGTACCCTGAAAAAATGTAGGAATGTTGCCCCACGATGACAGAGATTCCGGATCATCTGCACGAAAAGCACCACGGCAGACTCATCCCAGTAGCGGAGATCCTCCGGGGCCTCGTTGGCGGCAACGGACAGAGTCGTTACCAGCTTTGTCAAGACGGCAGCTCTGTCCCCGTCGCAAGATGCTGGTATGAAATCGGTGTCGTTGAGGAAGAACCGCATGCCCTCCGTGTAGGTGGAAGTTGCCAAAACCAGAGATTTGCCGAAAGAGAAGACGGAGTTGGCGGCGACTGGATCACTGAAGACATTCCATTCCGTACCTGGTGGGTTCCCCGTGAAGGAGGTGTCTGGAGCAGAGTAAGGCCAAACCTTGTCAGTTGGGCTACTGGATCTGGGAACGACGATGCCACCTGAGAAGTAGATGCGATCCACCTTCCGCTCGAACAGTCTCGGGGACTCCTGCAAGAAGTGTGCCAGATTGGTTAAAGGCCCTAAAGCAATGACGTTCACTTTCCTGCGACTCCTCCGTAATGTCTCTTGCAATAACAAGCCAGTGTACATCCAGCTGGGTGGCCGCATGTTGAAGGGCAAGCCAACATGCTGGCTGAGGAAGTTGCCAAGTCCGGTCTGCAACCTGGGATTCGGCAGCTTATTCGGCTCCTTTAGGTTCAACTGCGTGTCCGAGTTGTAGAATGGCGAGTATGCCACAGGTATGTCCGGCTGACCAAAATACTGGGTCAGGCGCATGACGCTCACAACACCGGCCCATTGCTGCGACCAGCCATCACACCCCACCGTGATGGCGAGCACCTCAATATCCGGCTGAGCAAGCCTTGGTAGGCCCAGAAAAACCATATCATAATAAGGGGAACCATTTCTACAATAAGGGTAACCATATTTTAAAAGCGGTAACCATATTATCATGAGGGCACGCTTTTGGGGTTGGTCATGTTGTAAGGGAGCCCATGAACCCCACAAAAATGGTGCAAAGCGTACCACCGGGCTACCAAGAAGCACAAAGGCGATGGCCATCTGGTCGTCCGTGTCAGCATCGGTATCAATGATGACGGGGGTCCGATGGCCATTATCTTCTAAGGATTGGAAACGTTGCAGTAGCGAGACCGCTTCCTCAAGCCCCTCATGGCCTGCAGCCCCTGTGACGCTCGCAAGGACAGCCAGGGCACAAGCCACTGGGAGAAATGAAGGGCTCATCAACCAAAAGCGAAGCGTCCAGCTACTACAATGTTGGCAACGTTCGAGTTTTTTTCTGCGTCGTATGTTTTCGCTTCTATGGAAGTACGACTATACTGGAAGAAATCATGTGCAAGGGCAGCCATGGAAACGTGTCCAGACATGGGCCTCACATTTTTTTGTTTAGGGTGCAGGGTAGGGTTTCGGGTTTCGGGTTAGGGTTAGGGTTTGGGGTTTAGGGTTTAGGGTTTAGGGTTTAGGGTTTCGGGTTTAGGCGTGTCGAAGATCGCCCCCAAACTTTGAGCCCAATCTGTGTTGGATCACCTGCAAACGAGAAGGGGATAGCGGCTTGGGGTTTAGGGTTTAGGGTTTAAGGTTTAGGGTTTAGGTTCAGGGTTTAGGGTTTAGGGTTTAGGGTTTGGGGTTTGGGGTTTGGGGTTTGGGGTTTGGGGTTTATGGTGTCTTGCCTCATAGACTCCCCACAACCACTAGCCAGTACATGCACCTGGTTTTGTTTTCTCTGCAGCGCGCCAAAACCTTATACGTTATCCAGTAGTTCATCCAAATCAAGCTGCAGGTTCCTTCTGTATGGTTAGTATTTAATTGCATTATAGTCGTGTTATAGCAGTAATATAGAAAATCTTCTAGTAGTATTTTTTAAAATGGGGGTTTCCGAAATTAGGGGTACGTACCTCATTGGGGTTCTTGTTGTAAGGGATCCTATTATATTGAGGTCTATGTTTGGGGTCCCTTATGTTCGAATACACCCAAATAGTATAGAAATATTATAGCAGCATTATAAGTCCCGTCCGTGCCCCTGCATGAGCAGCTCCCCGAACCTAAGCCCTGCTGTTTTAGGGTTTAGGGTTTAGGGTTTAGGGTTTAGGGTTTAGGGTTTAGGGTTTAGGGTTTAGGGTTTAGGGTTTAGGGTTTAGGGTTTAGGGTTTAGGGTTTAGGGTTTAGGGTTTAGGATTGGAGGATGAGGGTTTTCTCTGGGGCTTTGGGTCCCAATTCCGTGACACAAGACCCTCCACTTAAACTCTAAACCCCAAACCCTAAACCCCAAACCCTAAACCCTAAACCCTAAACCCTAAGCCACGGACCTTATGAACTCCCCAACCTGGCAGCCTAAGAAGAGGGGGCACCCTCAGGAGACTCTCTAAGGTTTAGAGTTTAGGGTTTAAGATTTAGGGGTTTAGGGTTTCGGACTTAGGGTTTAGAGTTTAGGGTTTAGGATTTAGGGTTTAGAGTTTAGGGTTTAGGGGTGTCGGCTTTTAGAGTTTCGGGCTTTGGGTTTGGGGTGGGCCCCCCCCTTGGGGCTTAGGGTTAGGGTTTAGGGTTTAGGGTTTAGGGTTTAGGGTTTAGGGTTTAGGGTTTAGGGTTTAGGGTTTAGGGTTTAGGGTTTAGAGTTTAGGGTTTAGGGTTTAGGGTTTAGGGTTTAGGGTTTAGGGTTTAGGGTTTATATAGGGTTTAGGGTTTAGGGTTTAGGGAAACCACACAACGCCTGGAAACCCCTTCAGGAACGGGCCAGAGCTGGTGCAGCTGCGGATGCGGCGGGACCTGGTCGTGCTGGAACTGTGTCTAGGTTTGGGTTTAGGGTCTAGGGTTTAGGGTTTAGGGTTTAGGGTTCAGGGTTTAGGGTTTAGGGTTTAGGGCTTAGGGTTTAGGGTTTAGGGTTTAGGGTTTAGGGTTTAGGGTTTAGGGGGTTTGGATTCAGACCCTGGTAAACCCGTGACCCTGCAAGCCCCAAACCTGGGCCCCCTTAGCCTATGTCGCTGCACCCTGTGTGCCTAAACCCTAAAACCTGGCAACGCCACGTCCTAAACCCGTAAACCCTAAACCCTAAACCCTAAACCCTAAACCCTAAACCCTAAACCCTAATTAAACCCTACACCTAGACTTGCAACCCTTTCCCATTGCCCTTCATGGACTCCATCGACTGCCCGTTCGCCCGATCTCGCTCACCCTCCCTGTTCACCCGATCTCGCCGCGTCGACTGCTGCAGGCATACCCTGATTCTCCCAAGAAGGTCACTGCAACCCCTAAACCGTAAACCCTAAGCCCTACACCCTGAACCCTAAACCCTAAACCCGGGTTGTATCTCGGACCCTTAAGCCTGTACCCTTGGGTTTTCGGGAACCTTCTTAACGATCCTTAAGATAGTATAAGGGCCATATTCGGAGTACATGGGGGTTTCCGAAATTAGGGGTGCCTTATTGGGGGTCCTCTTAAGATTGTGCAAAGGCCTTCCGACCAGTATTCATTCCGTTAAACATGTTAAATCAGCGGCAGTCTTTGGTATGAAAAGCCTTAGTGGCTTCTATGGGCCCATGAGGTGTCAACATATTCACCATCAGATGTTCATTTTTCTCCAAGCTAGCCTTGCTCAAAGCGTATGTCTCCCTGATAGGAAATCGCTTGGCCACAAGTGGACCCCCAAATTCGATGGTTTTGACGGTATCCCGCCGTATTAGTTTCCTTATTTTGTCTGAATTCACAAGCAGCCTGAAGCGGCTACTCATTGTTACTTGTCGACAGGTCGCGGCCTCAGACACACAGTGCAGCAAAAAAAAATATTGGGGGTCCTTTTTTTTCAAGGGGGTCCTCCTATTTGGGGATCTAGATCGAAATTTCCCCAACTTTCGTAAACCCGCATATTAAGGGAAACCTGTAGGGGGTACAACCTCAAGGGTACGAGTCTGAATCCCTTGACGGGTGCAGAGCGTTCCGTTCCCACATGCGAGCATGCGCTGCATGAAGGGCGGGAAGTGAAACTCGAAACCTGAAACCCCGAAGCCCGACCACCCAAAAGACCCTTAAACCCTAAAACCCTAAAACCCTAAGACCCTAAAGCCCTAAAACGCTAGAACCCTAAAGAACCCTAAAACCCTAAAACCCTGAAACCCTTAAACCCTAAAACCCTCAAGCCCTTAAGCCCCTAAGCCCTTCAACCCAAAGCTTAAACCCTAAACCCGAGAACCCAAAAGACCCGGAACCGTAAACACCCCAAACCCCAAACCCCAAACCCCAAACCCTAAACCCTAAACCCTAAACCCTAAACCCTAAACCCTAAACCAAACCCCGGCTCAAATCCTCAAATCCTTGGACCCTGGCAGCTGCAGGTCCCGCTGCATGACGGTCACTCGGCCTGCTCGATTAGGGTTTAGGGTTTAGGGTTTAGGGTTTAGGGTTTGGGGTTTGGGGTTTTGGGTTTCTGGGTTTATGGGTTTAGGGGTTTAGGGGTTTGGGGTTTGGAGGTTTAAGGGTTCCAGGGCTTCTGTAAGGCGGGTGGAATGAGCAGCTCGCAACTTAGGGCTGGGCGTCTTGGAAGATCACTCGGGTCCGGGGTGCTGACGTCAGTTGCTTAGCTGCTATGCCATTATGCCCCTTCCTCGATCATAATGTCCCCTACGCTCCCCCAAAAGGGGTACCCGAGCCCAAAGCCCTAAGTCCAAACCCTGAAGACGAAGTAGACGGGAATATTTAGGGTTCCAGTTTGGGGAGCTGTGGGGGACCCGATTTTAACTCTCATTATCCTTTTCGAGAATAGATTTTAGGCCTTGCAGGTTGCAGGCTTCGGGTTTAGGATGCGAGTAGTTTTTTCCGTAAACCTTGAGGCTCTGAACCCCGAAACACCAGGCACCCCGACGCCCGTGGAGGCAGAACAAGCTGGCATCCTCCATGAGGCCCGTGAGGAACGTCTGGGCAAGAGCCGATCAGTGCTGAAGCTGGGGGGTAAGGGTGTTAGGGTTTAGGGTGTTAGGATCTTAGGGCTCTAGGGTTTCTGGCTTTAGGGTTTAGGGTTTGAGGTCTAGGGTTTCGGGTGAAGGGTCTAGGGTTTAGGGGTTTAGGGGTTAAGGGATTCAGTTCCCGCAAGCCCTAAACCCCTCAACGCTTTAGCGGCCTGGGCGCCTCTCAGATCATGGGAGTACAACCCCCGCAAGCCCTAAACCCTAAACCCTAAATCCTAGACCCTGAACCCTAAACCCTCCTAAATCCTAAGCCCTAATACCCCCAACAACCTCCCAAGCCCTACACCCTCCTGACCCTAAACCCTAAACCCTAAACCCTAGGCAGCCCAGCCCTGAACCGCGCCTCCGCCGCTTCCTGCAGCGCCAGAAGCGCCTGCGACATCTTCGGCTCGGTTTAGGGTTTAGGGTTCAGGGTTCAGGGTTTAGGGTTTAGGGTTTAGGATTCAGGGTTCAGGGTTCAGGGTTTAGGGTTTAGGGTTTAGGGATTAGGGTTTAGGGTTCAGGGTTTAAGGTTCAGGGTTCAGGGTTTAGGGTTCAGGGTTTAGGGTAGCCGGGGCTTCCAGACCAACCAGGGCTTCAGGGGATTTAGTGGGCTTCTGGGATTTAGGGTTCTAGGGTTTTAGGGTTTTAGGGTTTTAGGGTTGTAGGGTTCTAGGGTTTTAGGGTTTTAGGGTTCTAGGGTTTTAGGGTTTTTAGGGCGGGTTTAGGGCTTCGACCTTCAGATTGGCTTCCAACTTAAGTGGCGGGTGGCCGGCCTGCACCTCGAAACGATAGGGGCCTGGGCTGTGATGGCAGAGTTGGGGGAGATGTGAGGGCGGGCTTGAGGTGCCAAGGGCCCTAGACCCCCAACCCCAAACCCTAAACCCTAAACCCTGAACCCCTAACCCTCAACCCTAAAGCCCCAAGGCTCAGGGTAAGAAATTCTTGAAGTTGAGGTCTAAGCCCTGAACAATAAACCCTAAACCCTAAACCCTGAACCCCAAGCCCTAAACCCTAAACCCGATGGTCTAGCTTGGGCTGCTTGGGCGTGGGGCCTTTTGAGGCCGAGTGTTTCAAAGGGTGTAAGGTTTAGGGTTTAAGGTTTAAGGTTTAAGGTTTGGGGTTTGGGGTTTAGGGTTTAAGGTTGAGGGTTGAGGGTTGAGGGTTGAGGGTCGAGGGTTGAGGGTTGAGGCTTGAGGCTTGAGGCTTGAGGCTTGAGGCCTGAGGGTTGAGGGTTGAGGTTTAGGTGATCCCGAAGCGGTCTAAGGAACATTGCTTGGTTCTTTTTCA